TTTGAACTTTTGGACTTTTGTGACTTGAATTACACCTTCAAGGTGAAATGGTTAAAAGAATGCTTAAATGCACCAGACTTATTATGGTACTTTATCCCACATAACATTTTCAAAGAAGTTGGAGGTCTCCAATTCTTGTGGGTCACTATAATATCACAAGGTTACCGTTAAAACTGTCCTGATTTTATCAACAAGCTCTTTTAGCTTGGAAGTTGTGTTATTCTCATAACTTCTCTCCACACAAGTCTATTATATGGAATAATGAATGCATCACCAAAAAGGAACAAGTCACTTTATTTACAAAACTGGATTGATAGAAATATCATCTTCTTAAGGGACGGTAACGGTCAATTAATTAAGTATGAGTCCTTTCTTAGAGAGAAGGCATTCCCAATAGCATTCAGAGAATATAGCTCAGTCTTTAAATCTATACCTAATAGTTTATTGGAACTAATGAAAAGCTATAAGAAACAGCAAGAAGTGCCCAGTTTCACATATACTCTTTATATAAATAATATTGATATTTTGAGCAGCAAATGCACTAACAAACACATTAGAAAATGCTTTTAAAATTTAAAGAAAATAACAATAACAAATTTTTTGGAATTCTCAGTTTTCCAATATTAACTGGTGTAAGGCATGGCTTGTTCCTTTTAGATTCTGTATTACAAACAAAGTTAGAGAATTACATTTGAAAATTTTGCATAAAATATATCCAACCAACATGCTTATCTCAAAATTCATGCTTGTTGATAACAATTGCACCTTTTGTAGAACAGAACAAGAAACTTTAAATCATCTTTTCTATGACTGGAGCGACCTTGAGAATTACATATATTATAGACCAACACATACAATCACAGTTGAAAGGAAAAATGTCATTACCTACTTTGAATCTAAAGATAAGAACTTATGCACCATTGTGAATCTCTTTATTTTGTTTGGGAAATTTCATATTCACAAAGCTAAATGCTCTAAGTCTACCCCATGTTTTAAAGTAGGCTACTCCTAATCGAAATATATATGTACTTTGAGTCTCTTAAACTTGTATCAAACAAGAAAAGCATTTCAATAAGTAGTATCTACTCAGAGCTATTCCTCTAAAAAATATCTTATGTCACCACCTGTTAAAATAGTCTGTCACTTACTCACTTATTCATCTCTTAAGTCTGTCCTGTTTTGTATTTCCTTTCGTTTCTGTTAATGTATTTGTTATTTAAGTTTATTATTAATTTATATATATATTGCACTATTGCACTATGCAACATTATGTTATATTAAGTCTTATATTGTGTTTATAAGCTGGAATGTCTGAATGTCTGAAACCTGATTTTCAATAAAATGTTTAAAAAAACAAAAACGGTGTGAACGCAAGATGGCGGCATTACAACAGCCAGAGAAACAGTCTGTTGCTGATTACTTAGCATTCATTAAAAATGTGTCTTGATGCTAGTTGTGTACACGAACTGTTATATTCGATCATTTGGGGATTTCTCGGTGTTTTTGTTCTGAATGTAGGAAATAAAAGAGGAAGAAATAAACATTTAGCCTATTTTATCTCGTTCGCAAACATTAGATTACTGCATAGGTTTGGACAGAGGAGTGCTGAGAGAAGGATCGATTCTCATTTACATGACAATGAGGGTGAGCAGGGCAGGCGGCGGTGGAGGAAAGGAGCGAGTGAGGGAAGAGGATAATGGAAATGAGTGACCAGAGGTGGGTAGGGTGGGGTGGAGAAGGGGAGCAAATGCAGAGAACGGGGAATGAGAGATAGAGAGGGGATGAATTGTAGGGAAAAGTGGGGGTTTAAAAGGGCAAGGAGAAGACGTGAGGCAAGACTGGCCATGAAAACCACACACACACACACACACACACACACACACACACACTTCTGGTTTAAAAGATGAAGCTAATAATAGGCTTTATTTCTTAAAAACAGCAAATCATGAAAAGACCAAAACCAACAATGTAGCCCATTTGACCATCTGTCCCATATAGTCCTTCATTGTTGTTCAATTAAAAACCCATCAGTGAGCCACAATGTTGCACAGGGTGATGTGTTCCTTCATTATGATGAACACCAGCACTGTAGAGCATAATCAATCCCACATTCACCGCCCTGCAGAAATACTCACTAAAGCAAATGTGTTATAAATAGTCAACAACAAATGAATTTTTAAAACCTCAGACTCGATCTTTTTTTGCTGTGCTCAGTTGTTTTAGGAAATTATTAAGCATTTTTAAGAAATTAAATGAAACTCTTTGGACTCTTTTAAAAAAATAGATCATCTTTAGCAAGGAACCAATGTGCATGGAGCCACAGATTGCCACAAAGAGGTAAGGGAAGACAGAAAGCATTGAGGACTAACACATCATCTCAACACTCATCTTTTCATGACACAATAAAAAAATATATAAATATATTCTCAACAGATGCAAGGTGTGGGGGGGGGAGTTATTTAATACAACAGTTTATTGTGGGCTCAGGTCTTCTTACTCCTCTCAAAGTGCATGCTTCTGGGATGTATGCATCTGTTTGGAGTAGTCACTGAGCACAAAGACCATGAATAACCCAGTGACAAATACTCAAATACCTACAAAAAGAAGCCACTCTAACCTTAGTCCCTTGCAACATGGAGCTAGCTTCATAAACATAGGCTTGCTCCATATAAAGACTTTATATAAAAAAAGGCCTTGATAGCTCAGACAACACATACTTGTAACAGACACTCCTCTTAATCAACATTAATGTTGTGTGTACATGTGTGAAATTGAGAAAAAGACACTTGATTGGAGCATCCAGAGGTGCTCGGTCCCTGTTGGCATGGCAACATGCAGAGCAAACCACAGGGGGTGGTTGTAGAGGGGGGAGGCAAAAGCCGGTGGACTGTTCCATCTGGGTGAAAATAGAAATCAGTGTTTATTCAGAGCCTTTAGTTTTATTGGCTGATTGGCCAAATAATGACAATGAGACAGCTGTAATCTGCTGAGAATAAAACAAAAGGGAGAAGAGGCAAATTGCCAGTGAGCGCGCCCCTGTGTGTGTGAGTCTGGAAGCGTGCACGTCTGTGTGTCTGCTCGTTGGGGGAGCATGCAGCTGCCTGTGTGTGAGTGGCAGTAAATATGAGAGTGATAGACTGAGTGAGAGAGCAGGTTTAAATGCTCTGGTGTTTCCTACTATGCTGGGGGATTCATTCATCTTTTCCATCAAGTCAGCCTCCTTTCTGGAGTGACAGCAAACGACACAGATGCATTAAGCTCATGTAGGCTGCACACAAACACACACTTCTCACAAGTATGTAGACTCAAGCACACTGAATTGAATTGGAAAAAAATGTAATCAAGCCATGGCCACCACACATACACTTAGGGCTTCCCCCCATCTTTGTATGTAAGTATTGCGGTAGTTGAGAAGAAGGTAGTAAGTGTATGAGAATCCTAATCATCCTGAAACTAATGGTCCACCCAACCAAAGAATTAACTTGCTAATCAATTAGCCTAATTAATTAGCAAGTTTGGAGAGGAAAATCTACAGTGAAAATTGAAAGGTTCAGAAATAATCAACACAATCGTCTGGTGTAAAATATGTTAGTAGACTACCAACATTATCATCAGAAACCACCAAACACACGCCACAAACAAAAGAATAGTGATGAAGTTATGTGACATTTCAGCAGCCACCCAATAGAATTAGAGCCTCCAATATCTCAGCAAAAGATCCATTATGTAATCTTTATATCAGTAGGTAAATCAGAAATTGATCTGTACCAGACTGAAGTACCCTACAACTAAGTTTGAGAACTAATTGTTTAAAAGTTGCTGTGTATGATGACCTGCTGGTTGGCATAATACAGATAAAAATGAACTTGTTGAAATGCTATGTTTAAATATAATTCCATCATAGAATAAAATACAGTAAGATGGGGTCACCATAATCTCAACTGTGTACATCAGAGATGCAGTCTCTGTAAGAACAGGGCACCTTTAGGTGTGACATCCTAACACACACACACAATTTTAATTAGTATTAGTAGCATCAGCATCATCATCAACAACAACAACAACATTGTGTCCATGGTGAATTTCAAATCAAACTGCAGCATTTCCAGGAGCCCGCCGACATACTGATGGAGAGCTGCGACAAAGCAGCCACAAGCATCCAGAACCAAACCGGAATTTAATCAAGGTTGCTTTCAAAATAAAAGCACTAAAACTGTTTCGTGTGTAACATAAAACCCATAGGAATGCAGATCAGTGTGGCTTAACTGTTTTGCAAGATAGCAAATCTAATTCTAAATAATGCTTCATTAGTTCATGGATGTTCTACAGCTCTTTGTATTTTGGTGGCAATCCTGTGTGGCTTGGCACATGGTATTATCATCATTCATTTTGCTGTGTACCTCCAGGTCTGTGGAGCAACTCCACACACCTCATGTCTTCTAGAAGCTCTGCCTAACAGCATTTTCACAATATAAATGAGATGTGTATTAAAACATGATGCAGACCTATATGCAATGAAAATGATTATAGGTCATGGGTGTTTACCGGTGTTTACCCAATGCGTGTATGAGTGCTGGGACAGGCTACCCACAGAGGCCGACCCTGCACAATATAAGCAATTTAAATGGATTGATGGACGATGTTAAAGTAATTGTACCATTGTCAGGTGCTGAGAAGTAGAAAAAAATGTTGTTTACCTCTGCATTTTCACTGTACCACCGAGCTTTTAGCCTGTAGGCCTACTATCTGTCATCTGATCCATAACACATGACAATTTAACTGATAGGGCCATTTGTGTGTTTTGGCATTTTGCATTGACGTATGATCAATGATCAGTAATAAATGGTCAATGGCGTATGACGTAGGCTATCACTGATTTTGCATTAAACATACGCATTTTGTTAAAGTAGGACTGATGTATTATTTGGAAATGCTTGAGCGGAAGTTGCCTCGGCTCATCCTGTGTAATTTGGCAGTGGGCGGCATTGCTCCGTGGTGTTTTTCTGGGAGGAGTGTGGCAGGCAAAGAAAACAGCAATAACTAATGGTTCAAACCGGGCAGTGTGAGTGAGACGTGGACGTAACCAGATAGATCAAGTTCCTCGGGAATACCTTGTCTAGGCCGTCTTTTAGACGACCCTGTCGGTCCACACTTTTAATGACCGAGGAGGTAAACGGGACCCGTGAATAAAAAGAGAGCAGGCGGAGACGGCGACATCAAAGGGACTAGATGTAGCTCCCTAGCGCCGTTCAGACCATTATTCAACACACGAGCCGAACAGCCTCTCAAAGCAGGAGTGAGTTAGCTTTGTAGCAAGCCACTTTTGGTAATTGTTGGCGTTTTGTTGCTCATGTTAAGCCCACTCTCCATAACTGCCGTTTGCATGTATGGCCGCTGATACAGTCTACGAATAGCATCCATTTCATTTTGTTTTGAAGCTTTTCTCCCCTTCGGAGCCTCCTGGTTTTGTCTTTTCAGGGGAAGAAAAGAGGTGCGCACGCGCGCCGCGTACAGCTACTCATAAAAACAACAGTATCATACTATAGGCTAATATTTTGTGAGCCGTACCCTCCCATGCCAAAGAAGAACTACAGTTTGTAGAGTCCTGGTTGAGTAGCGTTTTCTCGTTTTCTTCAGATAAATAAACAGTAAAGGCAGCCGCACTTCGATTTTTTCCCTTTGTTATTCAGACCAAGACAAGGAGATAGCTCCAGCTGAGGCAACACGGCTCCCAGTTTTGAGTCCTGCATGTTTTTTTGGGAAACTTTTAAACCTCTCGGTATTCTCTGTTCGGGAATTTGGAGAGGGAAACCCCTTTGTAGTCATCCTCCTCCCAGCTCTCCCTCCACAATAAGTGGCACATTGGAGGTATGGATGACCAGGCCCGCATGATGTTGGGTCATCTTGGACTAAATGGACTGTCTCAGGAGGATGTGGGCGACCCTGACAACATAAGGAAGCATCATACCCTCGGCCAGCCACAGCAGGACATTGGTGACATCCTCCAGCAGATCATGGCTATCACAGATGAGAGTCTTGATGAGGCCCAGGCCAGGTAATAACACAGGACACGGTAGGGCCAGATAGAAGAGTGAACATGTTTTAAGAGTTGGATTTGGGTCTGCACCAGGGGATATCTTCATCACAGCATCCCTCAAGCTTGCATGGTCTTACACACACATCATACGCTGTAATACACTGTAATAACACCCCCTAAAACCCTAATACTACTGGAATTTTTGTGCTCATTTTAATTTGACGTCTAGGTGTATCCTCCATTAGGCCTACATTCCTGTCCCTCTGGCAAACACACATTATGCATATACAGTATATTGGCCTACTTTTAATTTAACCAGAGATGGGAGAGGGTGGGATTTCCTCTTCTTTCCACATTTAAAGTGCAGCTAGACGTTTGGGAATTTAACCGAGGGGACAGGGCCTACCAGGTGTGAATGTGGAGCTGTTTATCAGTTACATGATGAGAGGATCGATTATCACTGCATTTGAGCCAGTATCTGCTGTAAATAGTCCCTGTTACCCATCCTCCTCCCCTCAACACCCTAACACATTGTTACATCTTTACTGGTAGGGTGCTGTTTTTTTATTTATGGCGAAGCATTTAACAGCCCTTGTACATACTTGTGACCCCTTTGACACTGTGTTGTGGCTAAACCTGTGGGTCAGTGCTCTGTGGTGTTAAGCACAATAGTAACTAACTCATAGGGCCGCATAATAATTCAATATCAAATCAAGTTATATTCCTACAATCTATAAATACCAAAATGTGTTGCACAAATGAAGACTTTGGTCTCAAGTGAAATTTAACAGTGGGATGCAGGTGTGTGATTACACGTGTAGTGGATGGCGATCATTACAATCATAACGCCCAACTCTCTACTACTACTAATACAATCACAATTGTTGGCTCAAAATAATATATCAACACAGGCAATACTGTGATACACCATACATATATTTTCAGTGTAACTGAAAATGAAAGTATACCCTTAAAAAAGGAAAAAGCATTGACATGAATGCATTTTTCATTTTTGTCCCATTACTTTTGTGGCCTTCATCCATGAGGGACGAAACGTGTTCGAGTATCTTCAACCAAGTCCAGTTTCCCTTACTTTAACCTTCTTTGGATAACTATGACCTGGATGACTGAGAATCTTCACAGACATTTTGTGGCCTTCATTCATCTAATATAACGTATTATTACTGTAATGCATTGCCTGTCTTTGTCCCTCTCCTGATCTCGTACTCAGTCTTTCACTCTCTTTGTTTCTCCTTCACTTGGTGATGTAACTTTCTGAAAAACAAATTTTCTCCCCTGCCTGCGTGAGTTTTTACAAAGCAGGAATCAAACCGGTTATGTATTTACCCACGGCCTTAAGAAGCTTCGTTTTTGGTATTAGAGAGTTTAGTAGCAAGTAAATATATCAAAGTAGGGCTGCAGCTAACGATGATTTTAGTATTCGAAGCTTCGATAGATTATTTCAACGATTCATCGTTGCGTCGTTTAACCCTTTAACGTCCTCTCAACCATTTGGAAGACCACATTTTAAGTCACTTTATCTCATTGAAAAATGTACTGAACTTAATTCAACCTGTTTAAGCCATCTCTACCATTCGGTGTAGGTATGCTGTGCTAAAAAAATCCACTAGTTGTCACTGTTTCTTTAAGCAGCATGCCTTTTCAGATACCCTCCTTAGAGAAAGTTAAAATCGTCAAAATCACTGCACACATGAGTCTTTTTGGTGGAGATTTCAAAGGTTAGGATATTTTTTTCACATATTACAGTTCCAGAGGAATTTCTTAAAAGAATTATGTAACTTGATGCAAAGAAAATTAAGTCTAATATGGGTCAAATAATTTTCTAAAAACATGCTCTACCAAACGGTAGAGTTGGCACTTCATGGTAAAGGTTGGCTAAGCTAATGTAATACAAATTTACTAGCTAATGTAATACAAATTGACTGCTTGCTATGAAATTGAAAACTTCTGAACATTCATTATTGTTAACATGACATATATAATGTGTTTCTATTATATATATGTTGAATTAATTTCATAAATATGTCGTTATAATGGTGAAATCATGCTATACCAAAATAATAATAAAAAGATAATAAATGTACAGTTTTTATGGAATAAAAATAAAATAAATATCTTGAAAACCAAATAACTATCTAGACAAAATAGACATGTGTTGGTATTCACATTACTAGCATTATAAGAGTACATGGTTTGTAAGTGTGATTTCTCTTTTCTGTTTCACAAATAATAGATGGACACTAAAACATTTTATGGTGCAAGGCCACAGAATTTTCCAGCCCTTTTACCAGAAAATCCTCAAGACTTCCATTAATCTGAGTGATGATGTTAACAACCAAATAGAGCCTCCTGATCCTCAACATATCAGAACATACCAATCTGTACTCTGCGCAAGGAGTTGGGAGATCCGATCAAAACTAGCTCCGAAGAGATTGACTATTTCCTGGCAGTACAACCTGTCATAGGTGTTTTCAACTTCCCAGCCATGGATGACTACTGGCACCGCCAGTCACATCCCAAGACGTAAAGAGATTCCATCCGTTACGCCAGATTATTAATTTTACTGATAATCAGCAGGACAAAGACAGTCCCGACCGGTTTCAGAAAGATGGCTCTTCATGCATTTTAATACAACAAACTTTAGAAAACATCATATAAAATGCTAAGTTGTTGCAGAAATAAATCTGTTTTACAGTCAACAGCAGAGAAGGTGACTTCAGCACTTCATCCCTTATTGCGTATCTAGGGTTTACAGTAGAGTTCATACCAACTGTATGCACTACACAGTAACTTCATTGATTATTGAACAACAGCTACACTAAATCAAGTAAATACTGTATTTTGCAGTGATCTAGACAATGATAAGTTGTCTCAGTATCTAAGTCTGTCTAAAAGATTGAGAGTACATACAAATGTGTTCTTCTGAAATACTCAAAGAACAGAAATACTATGTTAGTAATATTCAAAATGCACCAAAATCAATTACTGTGAAATTACTGTGTAGTGCTGTTTTGTATGAACTCCACTATAAACCCTGTCTTCACAATTAGGGTATGAAGTGCTGAAGTTGCCTTCTCTGCTGTTAACTGTCATTTTATATGATGTTTTCTAAAGTTTGTTGGTATTAAAATGCATATTTAAGTATTACCATGAAGAGCCATTTCAACTGTTTTGTAGAGCAGTATATCAGAAAAACTATTGGGTCTGTTAAAAATTTTTTTGGGATTATTGTTGTTATTGCCTTAATGAAATAAAAAATGTATAGAAATAATTTTTCCATCACTTTTTTCTTGGTGAGGACTTTAAAGGGTTAAGAAGTAGGCTACTTTTGCTTGGCGGCGGCGGCTACAGAGAGAGCTGGAGGTGAGTAAAAAGGTGCAGCTCCCCGACACCCAGTTAACTCATGACTGTGAGGTTACAACTCACAGCCCAAAAAGGAGAACAACAAACACACGTGTGCACATTTTCAGCTGAGGATTGCGGCTTACTTTGGCTAACCTTCAACTCAACAATCAATCATGATTTCAGTTAAATGCTAAAGTTGCTGTTAATGTTACCTTGCCTGTGGTCCACTGGCAGAACACCGGCTACTTTTTGTTCAGCTGCCGTCGTGCTGTTGCCGAGGTGACATAAGTTTCGTTTTACGGTGGACGGACGGTAACATGACAGAGTTGTTGTTTTCTTTAGTTTGAAATAATCCCATACTTTGGACACTTTCTTCTTTGTTCCTCGCTCTTTTCTCTCTCTTCCTCCACTTTGCAAACAGCTCCATTATACCTCGTGTTCCCTGGTAAATGTCCCTGCGAAACACTATGCTGTAAAATTACATGGATTAAAAGAAAGCATCAGTGCAAAGAATTTGTGTGAAGCATTTTATTAATCGATTTAATCGATGAATTGTTTCAGCCCTATACCAAAGTGTGTGATGATTTTTAAAAGCAACATGAATGTGTAGCAGTTTCTACAAATTTAGATTGCCATAATCTGGCAAAGGGTTGAAAAACCAAAACAACCAGAAAACGTCAAATTTTAGATCAAATGTCTGCAGCAAAAGAATGAAACATTGATGCCTCTGTCAGAAGGCATCATAATACTAGTTTCAATTGTATTGTTGAAAACTGTGTAACATTTTATTGCAATATTGATTATTTGGTCCCACTCCTATGTGGACACAGACTCATTCCCTGGGGCAGCCATGGCTCAGGAGGTAGAGCGGCTCGTCCACTAATCAGAAGGTTGGCGTTTCGATCCCTGGCTCCTCCAGTCTGCATTATTACTGAACCCCAAATTGCACCCAATGGCTGAGCCGTTGGTGAGTGTATGAATGTATTAGTTTCTCTTTCTTATGAGCTGCCATTAGTGTATGAATGTGCTCAAACGGGGTGAATGTGGCATGTAGTGTAAATCTCTTTGAGTGGTCTGAAGACTAGAAAGGCGCTGTACGTGTACAGTCCATTTACCATTCCCTCTGAAGTGTTTGTGCATTCAATCGCTCCCCTTCTCATTTTTCACTAAGGTGAGTAAGTCCAGGTGTATCAGGCAGTTATGTGCTCCAGGCTGTTTTCAGTCAGAGGCTTAAACACGTCTGGTCGCATACTCATCTGAACCCAGTTTGTTCAGTACTGACTTACTATGTGTAGCCACATGGTTTATTGTTGATGGATGTCCGTGCCTGTAACCATTAGAATATAAAGTCTACTAAAGAATGGTTTATAATTCACAATCTCTGTCTCTCTGTCTTTCATTTTCCGTAAAAAAGGAAACATGCTTTAAACTGCCACAGAATGAAGCCCGCCCTCTTCAGTGTCCTGTGCGACATCAAGGAAAGGACAGGTAAGTTGTCAGTTTGCTTCCTGGGTTTGACATCAGCCAATGAAGAAAAAGATTGTGTGCTAACAAGGGTGAGCTTTTTTTACTCTTCATCACTGCATCTGTGATTGAGGCTGAGGTTAACCCCACAGTTATTAGTTATAAATAAATTATTTAGAACTTGCTGTTTAAGGCTTGTAGTATTTTCATAATTTTTGGTCAAGGTTTTCAAGGGTAAAACAGAATATATTTATTTCTGATGTATAAAAGTGAGCCTTATAATCTGTGACAGAGACTCAGAGAGAGATTGGAGCCAGATCAGCAGATTGTTTATCTGTCCAGCTACATTTTCCCAGCCTTCATTCATCTATTGCTGCTTGTGCGATTGTGCACTTAATGCATTGTCTCTCTTTCCCCCTCTCTTGCTCGTGTGCTTAGTGTGTCACGCTCTCGTGCTTTTGGTTTGTACGAGCGTGATAACAACAGAACCTTTTGACTGAGAAATGCATGGGAGCAACCAGATCGTCTGGTTTTGTGTGTGTGAACTTGTGCCAGCAGTTAAGATGATGTCATGTTGAAATAGCTCTAATTGTTTGTTGCCACGTGAACAATCTGAGCAGCCTCAGGATGGTTTTTAAAAAGAAATATTTGATCCTAAGTTTGTCTCTTTCAATCCCACCCCAGTGATTTTGAGTTTTGAGTCAAGGGCCAAAATTTGTGTTTTACCTGGAAGAAAGTCATCTCGGCTTTTGAGCGGAGAACTCACTCACAACACTCAAGGCAGAGAGAAGTGTGAGCTACATGGCAGCCACTGTTATTACCTCACCCCATTCACTTAACTTGGAAATGGGAAGCGGGAGGTTGGCAGCATGAGGGATATGGAGTTTCCAAGGCAACTATTTGTCTCACCTACTCGCTGTCATTCAGCTTTTTTACACTCCTAACAGCCTGAATTTACAGGATGGGGAAGGGAGGATGTAATAGTTTGGAGGAATGAGAGTCAGAAAAGGGGACATTTGTTGTGATGGAAGAGTGATCAGATGATTCTTTCACCTTTCCCCAAAAATGGAATGAACAAGGCATTTTGTGCAGTTGCCAACCTGTTCAGCTCATTTCTCATACCACGGCATTGACCCAGAAAAAGCCAATCTTTGCCGTTAGTGTGAAAACGTACAAGCCATGTGTTAGACCATCTCTCAGTACAGCCCCAAGCCCATTTGTTCCTACTGAAGATCTAAATATTTTAAAGCAGCTGGGCACTGTAAGTTTTACCAAAAGTTACTCAAACAGAAGTAATAGTGTATTTGTGGGGCACTATTTTCAGTAGTGCCTAAGGCACACCTGTGCAATACCCATGCTATCTGATTAGCATCTTGATATGCCACACCTGTGAGGTGGATGGATTATCTCGGCAAAGGAGAAGTGCTCACTAACACAGATTTTGACAGATTTGTGAACAATATTTGAGAGAAATAGGCCTTTTCTGTTCATAGAGAAAGTCTTAGATCTTTGAGCCCAGCTCATGATGACTGGGGGCAAAAACAAAAGTGTTGCGTTTATAATTTTTTTCAGTGTATTTCCCAGTGATTATCAAATAGTAGTTTACTATGAGCTTGAACTGCCTATCCCTAATTTTCATTAATGGAGTAATTCACATTTGGTAGTGTATTTACAGCAGCATGTAGGATTGACTCAAAATAAAATCATTGTAAATAAATTCAAGGTAGTGAAGGTCGAGTAACGTCAGCCAGTGCAACACTGGGGCTCATTGATGTGGTCTAATAGTTTTTGGACAACAATGGAGCTCTGTGGACCAGAAGAATATATCAGGCTTTGGCTTGACAGACAGCAGTAGGATCGATTCTGTGTTGGTTTTGGTCAACAGAAACAAACAAACAAACAAACAAACAAACAAAAACAATATATTGAATCAAATCCTTTCAACGTAATTTACTGTCAAAAAAACTTCTAATAAAATGGTTAAGTAAATAAAGAATCCTATAAAGTTAAGGCCAGTTCATCGTCTTCCATACTAAACCTTCGGGGCAAAACTCAATATTTAGGTGCCTCTTTTAGTGGCAATGAAATATCAAGCAAAGTTTCTTATTGACGCAGTTACAAACATGTAGGTATTATAAATATAGTCAGGCACCCAGGCCCTTGTGTAAATGGTGGTTATCACCCTTGTTTACCCTTTAGCACGAATCTGGTATGAATTAAACCTTGATCAGTATGTTGATTTGCACGTAGCTTTTGTATGTCAGAGATGTGACGGGACAGTTGTTGGTTCACTCTCCTTCCCATTGGTGTGTTGTTGCTCCTTCACACTGAATTGACCAATTCTATAATGCTCAGTAACCGATGGATATTCTTAGAGAAACACATTGACACACTTTGTTTTAATTTCTGTCGTTTTCTTTCTTCTTTCAAGCAGAAGTTTAGAACATATATCAGTCCTTTCTCCCTTTCAATTGAGCTCACACTGCCTCCCGCTTTCTGCTGCCATTGTCTCGTTCTCTTCCTCTCTGTCCCAAGTTAGAACCATTAAAAATAACTCCTCACATGACAGCGACAGTCCAAAAAACACTGCTGGATGTATCTGCCCACTTCCCTGTCATCCTAGATCTGTCTCTCTTTCCCCTCCTTCCTGACTGCTGCGCTATTCCCGATACATCTCTCTGTTTTTATTAGCAGTGTTTTCTGGGAGGTTTTGAGTGTATTATAGTGCACAAAAAAATACGACAGAGGCAAAGCAAAGTAAGAAATAAGCACACAGAACAAATGACAAGAGAGGCGAAGGGACACGTAGCTACAAACATGGAAGATGCAGAAAAAAAGAAAAGAGAGCTACAGTAGAGGCAGGAAAAGACAGCGAGGGAGGGACAGATTGATGGATGAGTTGGAGGGAGAGGCGGTAATGGTTGTGTTTCATGGATTGGCAGACAGTTGATAATCTCCAGACCCTGGAGTCCTGTCAGCCTTCACTACAAACAGATTCTCAGCGGGGGACAGTTTGCCACCCACGGCCCCAACTGGACTCACAAAACTGGATTTACTCTGTCAGAGCACTCTGTTCCACGAGGCGTCATCTCTTTTATTATGTGCACTGTGTGTGTGTGTGTGTGTGGGTGTTACTGTTTATACACTCAGCAGAGTCATTGGGCAATCTGGAAGGCTGGGCTAAAATTCTGGACTAATTATGAATTAATTAACAGTAATGGGACCTGGCCCCCTTCGACTATAGTTTGTCTTTTCTTTTCTCTCATTCACTCTGCTGTCCTCTCTTTCCCGCATTTACTGTTTTCTTAAACACTCTGTTGCCAGTTTATTAAATACACATACCTAAAACTAGTGCAGTTCAAAACAACAGCTGTCCTGCCTTCATGAAGGCTGTGATGTACTGTTTTTGTTTAACTATTTTAGAGAGGTGTTAATTCAACTGAATGGTCATTTTGTAGGGCGTAGTTTGGTGCTTGAATTTTATTGCATTATACTAAGATATGTTTCCAATATTTAGTCTGCTCTCTAACTTGATATAAATGGGGTGGACAAAAGAAATACCTCCTATTAGAAACACCCCTCAGTAACACAATATGAATGCAACTATACCTACTAACCTGAATGTATATTTTACTGTTACAGTAAATTACTTTGTATCAAGATGTTTCTTTTTTGACCCCCTTTTTTCAACTTGAATTTCCCTTACATTTTTATTTTCCACTTTACACAAATACTAAAAAACTTTAGGATGAAAGAAGATGACGTGAGAGAAGTGATCGGAAAGAGAGGAATTGAAATGAGGGAATGATGAGACAGACTAAGAGAGAGGTTGGGATGTTAGAAAGTGTACATGTAAATGAAGGGAAAAGGGGGATGTAGACGTAGGAGAGGCGCTTCTCTGTAAACTGGTAATTACCTCTCTTTGTCCGTACTTCTGAGACACAGGTGGATGTGTTGTATGTGGTGTTGGGGCTGAACAATTAATCAAAATTTTATCGAAAGCAAAATATGGCCTACTGCAATTTTCAACTGGCAGGAGGTGTAATATTTGTTAAAGGTGATATGTCTGTTAAAATACCATTTTAAATGAAATAGCGTCATGCTGCAGAGATGTCCTGGCCTACGCATCATATTCTACAGACTTAAGAAAACATCTTTGTGTGGTACAGATTCCTGCGAAAATCAGACGTAATTCATTTTAATATGTTTTGTTTTTATGAAAATGAGAATAATGATGTAAAAATGATCATTCCCCCTAATATTGCAAATCATATCACAATTACAATATCAATCAAATAATCACAATTAGATATGTTTTCAAAATCCTTCAGCCCGTGTGTGTGTGTGTGTGTGTGTGTGTGTGTGTGTGTGTGTGTGTGAATGAGCCTTTGTCAATATACTCAGATGTAACATTACATCCATATTGTATATATTAACCACATTACATCACAGCAAGTGCACTGCATTGGAGAACAGCGGTGCTTTTGCTGTACTGTAATACGGTTTGGGAAATCACTAGTGTGTGTGTGTGTGTGTGTGTGTGTGTGTGTGTGTGTGTGATAGCCTGCCAAAATTAGAGGCGATCACAAAGTGTGAGTGTTTGTCGGTGTGTGTGTGTGTGTGTGTGTGTGTGTGTCAGTGTGGATGCTGCTAGCCAGATGCGGAGGCTGTCATTGCCCTCGTTGCGGGATTATGAATGTGAGACGATCTCTGGAACTACCTTGTAATTGCCACCTAATTTGCATAACTGTGCAAATTAACGACCTCTCAAATGAGCTTTCATTTTTCACTGGGTCTTTAGTTGCTCCTTAAGAGCTGGCGTTAATTAACAGCTGTGTGTGCATGTGTGCAGGGACGCTTGTGTATGTGTGTCTGTTTTTCTGTGGGCTTGTGGATGCCAAAGGAAAGCTGGCATTTCTCCCATAGCAACAGCTATAGTTTCTCTTAATGTAAACCTCCCCCTTGTCAGTGTTTTCTGTGGTTTCTATGTCTCTCTCTGTCCCTGCCTCTTCTCTTTCTGTCCCACTCCAGTTGCCCCAGTGTGTAGAAACCACTTGATCTCCTCACTCCCTTCAACAAACAGAGGTATAACGGAGGGTTCTTTTGTCATTCAGTAAGTTCAGCTGTGCTGTCCATAGAGGCTGTATATTTCACGTAGAGTTGTTCTAAAAGTATTGCTTTGGTGTGTGGGGGGAAAAAACTTAATTCCTTTATAGGTTATTCTAATGTTTGCTTATCAGTATTACCTTTTGGTTGATAGCCAGCTGTTGTTGCTTGAGGACGTATGAGATTAAAAATTGGGGCTTGTCTCTTGAGTGGCTAGCAGATAATAATTGATTATATTTTTATTGAAATACATTTTTCAACTTTGGATTTGAGGACATTGGGAGGAAAAAACTGAAGGAAGGAACTAAATGAAAGAATCTTAAAGTGTGGAAATACTGTATGTGTGTGGGTCTTGCATATTGAGATAGTGCTCTCTGCTGGCTGGTAAGGGTTTTTGAGTTGTACTCAAAAACACCACAAACTACACTGAGTGCCCCAGTTTGTACACAGTTTTGTGTACACAGTTTTGTGTACAAACAAAAAGTATATTAGTCATACTGTGTGAAAAATGTAAACGTTCTACTTAAGGGAAAATAATTCACCAAACTGAAAAACAAACCATGTTTTTGTGTGACAACACCTTGTTTTCTATGATGGGTTCACTGCATGTTAACCACTGCATCACCTGACGACGATTGAGACAAGGACAACGATATTAAGGATTAACACTGTTCCTGTACAGCTGGGTAGGTCTCTATTCATTATTGAAGTCATTAAAAAGCAGAGCAATAGGGCTTTGTAACATTACATTTAGTGTTAAGTTAGGTAGCATTAGCTAACTAACATTACATTAGGAACAATCCACAGCCTACATTTTTAGGTTTTGGAAAATGAATAAAACATACTTCTCCTTTCAACCTCTCTGGGTAGCTGATTGTAATTATTACCAGAGTCACCCAGGAACAGCGTTTGACAACTTTTGCATTACTGTGCTTTCAGACCAAAAGCGAAGCGAGCGTTTGGGGCGGTGAGTTTACATACAAAGTCAATGCAAAGACACGTAGAGCTGCGATTTCCTGTCGTGCGGCGCAAAGCGATGCGAAGGGGGCAACGCAAAGGCCTTTGCGTGAGTTGAAAATTTCCAACTCAAGTGAATTTTTGCGGGTTCTAATCGCCTTCTCAGTTAGTGTGTGAACACTTGCAGCGAATGTACTCACGCGAAGAAAGCGCCGCAAGGGTTAAATTCGTGTTTGGTGTGAAAGCACCATTAGTGTCAATGGAGGTCAGCCATGAAACCTCAGTTAGAGCGAGTCCTATACTGCGCTGTATTTGGCCAGCTGCATATTCGGGGCGGGGTTAGCAAAGGGTCAATTTAAGTCATGTAATTAACATGACAAATGACCAACTCACCGGTAACACAGCCACTGTCAACCAGTGTTGGGCAAGTTACTCAGAAATTGTGTATCCTGATTACGTTACTAGTTATGTTACTATATTATTTTCCACAGAATGACAGTGGGGGGGACGTAAACTTTGTGCAGTGCTGTTCACGAGAGAGAGAGAAAGAGGGAGCGAGAGGAGGTGCTGCAGAAATATATGCTCCTCAATGCAGCTCCTCAATCAAAGATGATTATGGGAAACACTGCTTTCACTACCACCCCCCTTCACCGCCAAACAAAGCAGTCTCCCTCGACTTAATAATATCATATTCAACAGCAGCAGGTGTGTTTTTTCAAAGTATATAGCCTAGGCCTAACGTTTCTTGCTTCAATAAATCAGATGTAGAAATGTTCGCAGTTGAAAGGTTTTTGCTGGATTACACTAGACGAAAATGTTCTTTGCATCTTAGACTGTAACAAAGTAATGGCAGTAGCTACTTAAAGCTGTGGAAAGAACTCCTCTCTCACTCTCACTCCATTCTTCCTTTAGTGTTTGGCTATCAGCGGACATGAACAAGAAAGTTCGGTACTGCTGAGCTGCCGCACAGTCGTGGATTCACGTCAAGGATGGTGCGTTCGGTAACGAGTAACGCAGCGTTACTTGCCTTAGTAACTAGTAATAATATTACTGTTTTAGAAAAGTAATTTGTTACACTACTAGTTACTGGGGAAAGTAATATTATTATCGTAACGGTTACTGCCGAACACTGCTCTCGACACACACTCCACTGGAGAATACACTCCGGTAGACTCTGGTCAGCTAATTGTTTTCTTTTGTGGTTTTTCGGGTGCAGCAGTGTAGTTAATAGGGGAGCTGCAGAGCGCACTCTGGTGGGCGAACTATGCAACACTCCTGACATGAGTGAAGAATCTGACTTTCTGTTTCTTTTTTAATTCTGATTTAAATGCAATTAGCTCATATTGGCCGATAATATCAGAGAGCCGATAAATCGGTCAGGCTTTACTTGGAAGATCTGGCTTTGAACATTATCCTGCTAACATGTCCTTAACTGGGCTTGATTACTTCTCATCTGATGTGGCTGTAACAGTTTTATCCATCTCCACAGCCCTGGGTATCCGAGGCGTCCAAGAAGAGGACTGTCCAGACCCTCAGATCATGCGACTAGACAACATGCTGTTAGCAGAGGGGGTTACGGGCCCGGAGAGGGGCGGGGCCTCGGCAGCGGCGGCAGCGGCTGCCGTGGCAGCTGGAGGGTCACCTAATGAGGGAGCCTTACAACACACTGAGTACAGAGAGAAGCTCGCTCAGATACGAAAGATGTACCACGCTGAGCTGGAGAAATATGAACAGGTGTGATATTAGACAGCAGAAAAAGAGCTGCTGTACAATTTTGATCATGATAATAAAAATTACATATTGCAAAAAGTATTACTCACAAAATAATACTTGATACGTCACTCATCATGTCACAGATTTGATATGTTGCGACAGCTTACCATACAGTGTGACAGAGCCACTCAGAACTGAGTACCAGAACTATTTGTTTCGGAGTATAGTAATTTTGCCCCAGAAGTGAAATTATGGATCGCAGAAGTGCAGCGAGTGGCTCTTTAGGCTTAAGTGGAACTGATAAAGAAAACAACGTGTTTGTTTACAGGCATGCAATGAATTCACTGACCATGTGATGAACCTGCTGAGGGAACAGTCCCGTACTCGGCCTGTCTCACCCAAAGAGATAGAGCGAATGGTGGGAATCATCCACCGCAAGTTCAGCACTATCCAGATGCAGTTAAAGCAGAGCACATGTGAAGCCGTCATGATCCTACGCTCCAGGTTCCTGGATGCCAGGTTGGTTTATTTTCCTCTTAATTTTAGCCTTTCAGTGTGTGACAGTGTACTTACAACAATACGAATAAGAGTATCTGCTTTAGTATTGCCATCTTCCTTTCTGTCAGGCGGAAACGAAGAAACTTCAGCAAGCAGGCGGCAGAGGTTTTGAATGAATATTTTTACTCCCATCTGGCAAACCCCTACCCCAGTGAGGAAGCCAAGGAGGAGCTGGCCAGGAAGTGTTCCATCACAGTTTCTCAGGTCTGGACATCAAAGAAACACTAGGGACAAAAGGGACTTTGGAACATAAAGAAACCGATAAAGCACACATTTTCACATGATCCTGGCTTACTTCTGACTTTCTTTTTACCTCTTTAACTCTCTCAGGTGGCCAACTGGTTTGGAAACAAGAGGATTCGGTATAAGAAGAATGTTGCAAAGCTCCAGGACGAAGCTACCCTGTATGCTAGGAAGTCAGCTGCTAGTGTATCTTCACAGGCAAGCCAAGCCAACTCCCCAGCCACACCAAACTCAGGTACATGCACACACGCACACACGCCCGTACAAATCAAAGGCATTGCCTCTTTCTCATCAGACTCCTACTGTCTGCCCAGAACAAGTCATGTCAGCCTGGGTTTGACCTCTCCCCACTGGCTGAGGTCAAACCCAGGCTGACATGACTTGTTCTGGGCAGACAATAGGTTATTTCTCAACATATCCTTGCAGTCAGTGTGGTAAAGCAAATGACGAGGCTGAAATTCGACCTGACTCTAAAGTGAGTCGTGCGTTTCCAAAATCGGGTCAGAAACGTCATATATCAAATTCATATATACATTAATAACATAAATATTAGTCTTGAATAATAAAACAAAATATATTAAATTAAACTTAAACATACTGGTTTATACAAGAAATAATTTGCGTTATATATCACTTGAAATACCCTACAACAGTGGTTTTCAGTGTGTGAGGTGGGCCTCCCTAGGGGGGCTCCAAACAATTTCATGGGAGGCTCAATGAATGGAAGTGAAACAATATTACAAGACGTATTGCATTAGTTATCAAAAGGAGATCACATAGAATACTGAGACTTCAGAGATACAGTAGTTTTTGGGAACTGTTTTCCCCCATCAGAGTCAGAAACTAATTAATGCCTCAGGACAGACCTTTTTTAAAACTATTTGGTCGTCAGAAGTTATGTCAAACAGCAATATTAGGCTATTTTGGCTCAAATATTGAGTGTCTAGGGGATCAGATAATATACTCATGATCTCATAGGCATCCAGGAATTGAGCGAAACTTACCAAGTAAACTGAAGTGCAATTTATACTTCTGCGTCAAATCGACGGCGTAGGCTACGGGGCTACGCAGAGGCTACGCCGTCGCCTGACGTGTACCTCCTCAAAAATGTAAATACACGTCGAGTCGATGCGGACCATAAGCTCTGTGATTGGTCGGCTGGGTATTCTCGCAATGCCTCCGAGCGAACCGGAAGTACCCCACGCTTTGAAGTAACATTTACTAGCGGCCAAAACGGCGGCTGTAACACAGTGAATCAATATATTTGACCGTAGCAACCCGAGCGAAATGACTCGTCTCAGAATGTGGCCCATTTGGTCGGTAACATTTGAAAAGGCTATGTCAGCCGCACGTTTACAATTTTACCCCCATTTACGTTAGCGGAGCGCTAAACCGGAAGTTAGCCTGCTTGGCCGGCAAAATTCAACACAGTGGACGCTGTAGAGCTACTGCCGACTAGCGTTTGGGGGTGTAATTGCAGAATGACAGACACACCTACGCACAAGTATAAATGCATGGCTACGTGTGTAGCCTACGGCGTAGGTACGCACGTAGACCCTACGCAGGAGTTTAAATGGGCTTTAAAGATGTGGTGGGGGCTTTGTCTGAGGGGAGGCCGTCAGTCTCAGACTTTGAATACCCTTGCCCTACAACTTGATGAATAAACGATTCTGTGGTCAACAGAGCCCCCTCGTGGCCGGATAGCACAACAGCAGTACTGAAAACATCCACCAGGCGAAACACAGCATATGTTTAAGGACGTGCTTACGTACATTATGATCAAAGAATCGGCAAGTTACCAACAACACTCAATATTAAATGCATATTCCAAAAGTATGACACTGATAACATAAGAACATACGTAAGCTACATTAGCAAAAAATTTTATACTAACATTATTTAGTGGTCTAATATTAGCAAAGAAGGTTTTTGACTCATGTTTGTGCATGAACGCACACAACAGGCACCAACTACTGCTCACCCATAGAAAATGTGTGGAATGGAAAAGGGGGTTGCCTTAAGGAGGTATGACATCATCAACTATGGCAAGTGCGCTAGGATCAAACACAGAAAAACAGAAAAATTGCAGAGGTCTTGACAACAATAAGAAGAGTGGAAACAGTAGACTTTCCTACAGCCAGGTTGGCCTGCAGCTAGGTCTGTTCCTTGCTTTGAGCCTCATACTGCCCAATCCCTCATTCACCGTGATGTTCTGTAATTGTACCTCCTCTCAGGTCTCCCTCCCTGTTCTCCTCCCTCCAGTTTAGTCAGTGCTGACTTCATATGACCCCCAGGAACCAAACCTAACAGCTTCCCTATTGTAGTGTGTTAAAGGCAGTAAGATATCCTCACTGACTGAACAAATCGAGAATAAGGTGGAGATTGCATTTCTTTTGTTCTCATGGCACTCAGTGTTGTGTTTCATCAGAGAGATAAAGCCCATAGGAGAATCCCTGTCAGTGGAGCCCTTGCTCGTATCAGACGTGTGTTTTTTAGACTTTTAAAAAACCGTAGCTCCTAAAAGAGTGCAAAGAATTTGAAGCTGTTTCACCTATTGTAGCTATTTTTCCCTTTTTGTAAAGAGACCTGCTGTCCTTGTGCTGGATGGCAAAAAAAAGTGCACAAGAGGACAAACATTTTTGGTAATTGTGCTTTAGTGGGTTGGTTCACCTTTGCTCCACAGTGAAGACGATCTGGCCATAGTTTTGTGTGGTAAAGAAATGCTCCCAATATTTTGTATCAGCTCTTTACTACGGTCTTTCAGATTCTGCACCAATCCTTTAACTTTGCTTAGAGTTACTTGGTTTCCCATTCTGCATGGTGTTTCTTCAGTGCTGATAACATACTTAGAAAAAAACATTTACATGAAAAACTGGAGAAAGATAAAGTCTTTTTCAGAGTTCCATTGACATCTTTTCATGTGGCAGCCGGGCCGTTTCTGAAAGTCTCTGTGCTCTTGGTGAGACATCCACTGGTGCCCCTGAGGGAAGTGCTAATGCACTAACATGTTGGTGACGTATATTGTGTGAGACGAGAGATGTAGTTCATTGAGCGAGTTGACGGAATTCCAGTTAACAAGTCGGAAAATCTCGCTCAGCCAGCCGTTGTTTACAACTAGCCAGTTTAGCTATTGATATATTTACTCACACTAAACACAGTAGCAACACAACCAAATACAACTGTTGGACAGCACTTTGTGTACGAAAATTTCTATGAGACACAAGTACACAGAAGTACTAATAAACAGTATAAACTAGAGCTTTCACTAACAGTTGATACCTTGACAGCCATCTTGGATCACGAAGTTGGGCTAGAGCGGTCCTCCGCTTTCGACTTAAGGGGGCGTTCCCTTTGAAATTTTGACCTTTGAACTCAGAAAATCAGACTTCCCATGTCAAATGGAACGCACCATTACTGTTTTACAACAAACTGCGACTTTCTTGACTTGCAAAATTATATTTTAAATTGACCAACATCATATGTGTAATTCAGGGTTCAATTCTAACGGGATAAAAAGATAAGTCGTCTCTCGCCATTGACCGTACATATTTTTTCCAAAATAAAGTCCTATGAGCCGGTAGCGGAGGTGAGTGACTTAGGCTCTCTATATAAAGATGGCCGACACGTCTCCACTTCCTCCCACTGTAAAAAAAAATTAATGCAAAATAACACGGATTGTTGCGCTGCCATCTTGTGCTGGTGTCATCATTTTTAGCCAGAGTCTGTGCGGTAGTGATTGGGATTAAGCTGAGCATACATTGCGTGATCGTTGAAATCTTCTTCTTATACATACATATAGGCGCTGTGAGGGGAAAAAAAGGCACTGATCATGGGGAATCAAGTCATGGCTTTGCTTCAAATGTGCGACTGCCTGACGATGGCCGACAAAAATTTCTGACATGTCAGAAATTCTTCTGACTGACTGCTGTTTGGGAGCAATTGATCGGTCCTCGTTCCCCCTTTACACTGCACGGCAAATGACGAGGCTGAAATTCGACCTGACTCTAAAGTGAGTCGTGCGTTTCCAAAATCGGGTCAGAAACGGGCTTAAATCGCATAGCGTGTGCCCAGAGCCGTGGTTTGCGAGGTCCCTCCCATATACCAGGCAGACTCACTCGCAAGCAGGGCTTAGCTGTCAATCATGACGTGAAACCCCTTTTTATAGCTTCAAATATGTAATTAAAACCAAATGTATCCGGAAAAACACTTTAACATACATCAGCATGGGGGAGGGGCTTGTGACTTATACTGCAGCCAGCCACCAGGGGTGATGAAACCTTTTGGGGAGCTCTCATGTTGTCCATCTTTACATAGAGTCAGTGATAGGAATGAGTGGGACAGACTTTTAAAGCAGATTGGGTGTTATTGGGAGAAATAAATTGCACCCAATAAATTGTTGGCACTCTTTGTAACTACCTATGTATTAAACCAGCCCTGTCTGGAAGGGCAGCATGTTTAAAATTAGGGTATTAAAATGCGTGAATGTAAAACCTGTACTTAATGTGTTTCCGGCAATAGGAGGATACCCAGCCCCGTGTTTCACTCCTGATGGGAGGTAATGAGGACCTGCCTGGAGGAACTTCCCTCGTCAGGGTCTCCATGTGAGTAGCTATGGTTACACACTGTTGCTGTAGTTACACACCATAGTCATGGTAACCGCCTTTCCTTGTGTTAGCATATGGCGTGACACATTGTGTGGATCCATAGACTGTATATGGATCCTATCCTTTTACACACTGTGTCCTGCACTGCATCAACAACTGAACGTGAACACTTGATTGTTGTTGGGCATTAAAGTAAACATAACGTGTCAACAATCTACAAATGATGCAGGGAGAAACACAGACTAAACCACAGGTTGAATAGTGTAGTGTTTGCCACAGAATGACAGCGTAACCTAGGGTTAGGGGAGAAGGGGGGTTGGAGCGTGCAGTTGATATTGACTAGCACCTGTGTACAATGTGCTAACCTCGACAACCCAGCTGTATTCTAACGTTAACATAGCTATTAGGGCTGAACAAACAATCCTTTTTTAAATCGAAATTGCGATTTGAAAGAACGCGATTAGCTAATCGTGAAGACGGTGATACAAAATGTAGGTTAATTATACAGCACATCTGACCTGTTTTAAGCAGTCATGAAGTTACAAATTCATTCCGTTGTTCCGTTCCTCTACAGCTAATGTCCTGTTCCACTCTGAATGTCTGTTTGTGTAGGTTGATGATGGCTGGCAGGACAGTGGTTATCCCTCTTCCTGTCTCCCCCCACCCCGAGCACCATGCAGCAAGCACTACGTCACCTCCAGCTGATGCTCCACCTTCCCTCCTCGCTCCCCATCCTGCTCCTCAGAATAATACAGCCCAGGCTGTAGGCTGATCTCCAGCCGAGCCGCAAACAGACTCTTTAGCATTCTCAGAACTTATTTTGTTTTGCTTTGAAATGCTGATCCTTTTCCCACATCTGTCCCACAAGTTATTATTATTATTATTTTTAAATCCTTCCACTTTACAAATGTGTTGACACCTTTAATTGTTTGTTTATTTTTACAATTACTCACCACATTTTTCTTCTATTTAAAAAAAAGTTAAATAAATGATGGAAATAATTTTTCCTTGAAGGTTTAGGGCCTAAATCTGGCCTTGAACCCAGATGTGGATTCATCATTTTATTTAAAAATATAAGAATTATAATTATTCTTAATTATAAGAATAAAAAGAAGAAACAATTAGATTAGAAAAAAACATTAGAAAAAAAGGACAAAAAGAAAGCATGTAGTTATTTTTAGATGTTAAACTACAATTTAATTATTTCTTTTCTCTAAGGTTTTTTAAGAAAAGGTTTGTCACTGAGAAAATACATTTAAAGAGTACAACAGAAACATCTAAATGGCAGAAATGACCAAAAATTAATAAACACATTTTCACTTATTACATTTTTGTATCCTGTGGTGTTGCTTCAAACAAGAACTGGGTTGAAGTTTGTTTGTATTTATGTGATTGTAAATACAATATTGCTTTAACAGCTAATGATGTTTCTTAAAAGCAACCAAACCAAAGAGGCTTTAACCCAGGAGATCAGGATCAGTGTGTTGTGCCCATGTGCACACAGTTAAGATGGGATCATGTATGTTTTTAGTCATCTGTGCCCTCTTCTGGACATTTTGAAACAACTCTGTCTTTCATGCCAAACCAAGCTTACAGAGGAATGTTTCCTCCACAAACTCTTGTTTTTGCTGCCTTTCTTTGTTTTCACACCTTTCTTTTGCTAGTTGATCTTGAAATAGCGAATGTCAACAAATCCTGAGACCTGATTAACAGAGAACAGGCTTTATATCTAACTATTAGTCATTTATCTGCTGGAGGAGCTGCAGAGGTGGACATTAGTCCAGGAGCATTTGATAATGTAGTGAAAGCCACACAATGTAATAGCTTGTTAGTATGATAAAATGTCCCTCAATTGGCCAAAAAATGTTTAACAACAAAAGAACATTGCTACATGTGTAATTATTGCAATAAATTGTGATTATGACTTGACAGTATGTAATGTACCTATAGGATGATGCTGTCATAATGATTACATGAGTCTTAGAAGGCTATGATTTAATTAGTTAAAACTACACTCCTTAAGACCTTACAATAACTGCTCTTTGTTATCTGTACTGTTACATTACCCAGAAATGTGTTGTATTAACAGATTTCATTACTTGTGCAGCCCATTAAGATGAACTTTTTATTGCATTTTGTTATTCTGCAAACATTAAAGTCAACTGCTATGTATCCTGTCAAATGTCCTTGTCCTTCCCTGCAATGTAAATATTGATTTTATTGATATGAATTTAGTTAGGACTAAGGACTATTTCATAGTTCTTACAGGTTTAATTGCCAGTGTTTTGTATGACAGTATGAATCTAAGATGAGACATTATATTGATCATTCTCCTTTCATTTAATATCTGATGGTTCTGTGGTGTTTTAATTGAGTTCTCTAAATAATCTTTTGATGTCTTAAAACATTATTTCTGAATGATCCCCAGCTACATCCTAAATTCAATGACAAAAACATAGTCATAGCTTTTATACTTTTCACCATAAGTTCATTGTTTGCATTTTCTCAGTTAACAGCATATAAATAGCAATAAAATGTCCCTGGGCGTCATCCAGGCACAACAGAAAATTTTGGATTCAAACAAACAAAAAAAGAAGCAAAATAATACGGCAGTGAAACACTTCATACGTGACTAGAACTTGTGGGCAGTGTTTGAATAGGGGAAGGGGTTAAAGGTCGAAAGTGATTGTATGAAAGAGAGACACAGACACAGTGAAAAACAGATTGTACACCTAGAAGAACGTGGGACTGTTCTCTGTTCACCATGGATTGTTCACCTGGAGTACTAATCCTGTTTTCTCTCTTATGTTCAGGTAAGGAATCTGATTTACTTTGAACAGAGTAGCATCTGCATTTTACAGAGCTTGTGTGTTAACTGGCATTGACGTCTGTAGAGATGTATATAATTTTTGTATTTTCAAAGGATCACAAAAAATGGTGCTCACACAGCAATACAAAAAATACATGGAAGTACATAAGCAGTAGTGCATCCTTTTAGAAGCAGTGATTACTTCTGACTGTTTTCATTTGAGCTACTTTTCCCTTAAGCACAAGTCCCTATTATTAAAGCTGCTGAAAGCATTTTCTGTCATCACTAGCAATGGGGACGTTTCTGGGAGGAAAACTTTGGCGGTTGTTGTATTTCTAAATGTAATTTTTCAATACTTTGAGCACCACTAACAAGGTAGAAATATCAAAATCTGGGCAAATAAAACCAAAGCAATCTGGATGGCTGCCAGTTTTTGTAATTTGGGTAAACCAGCCCTTTAATGTAGTAATATTTTAGTTTTAACAACAGTGAAAATTTTTCAGTATTCCTCTCTGACACATCTTTTTATTACATGTTTAAGCTTTTATTTCTTTTTTTTGCTTTGTCATCAAAAGCACTTCCATTCAGTCTGTGTATTTGCTCAGGTTGTTTGCTCTGGGGTTAGTGTTCGTTTACTCAAAGGTTCACAGAGTTGCACTGTACCTGCGTGTGTGTGTGTGGTGTTGCCAGTTCTCTCTTTCTGTGCAGTGGCTGGTCAAGTTCCGGTTGTCTCTGTGGAGCCCCGGGCAGCTACTGTGCGCCAAGGGGAGTCTGTCAGCTTTAGGTGCCAAGTGGGGAGCGGTGCACAGCCAATTCAACTGGAGTGGAAGAAAGCCAATAACCAAGCATTACCAGGTCAGGAGTAATAACATGTAAGCACAAGCATCGTTCATACAATATCACCATCTGTGAAGCTTCACTGAATTCTACCTTTTGCTTCTAGACAATGTGAAGATTGGTCCTGATGGCTCTGTGCTGACGGTTGCTAATGCCCGACCTGGAAACCAGGGCCAGTTCCGCTGCGTGGCAGCCAACTCTGCAGGCCGCAGCACTGCCACAGCTGTACTGAACGTCAAATGTGAGCTTGTTTTTCGCAATTCACTTAGAAACTGTGGCCCTCCTGAAAGAGTATTCTATCTTGCCTCCCTTTTATCAAAACTAATTATACCAAAATGTTTTTGTTGTTTGCAACTTGTTTCCACATGCCCCCAAGTGGCCAATAACATTAGTTACTGCAGGTGTAACATGTCAGTCACGCCTGCGTGTCCTCTCTGTCAGTTGCTCCCAAAGTGCAGCTGACACCAGCAGGGCCCCTGCAGGTCAGAATAGGTGACCCGGTGTCAGTGGAGTGTAAAGCCACAGGCAGGCCACGGCCCAAGTTGACCTGGAAACGCCAAGGATCCTCCCTGCAGCTGGTTACCCGGGAGACAAATGATGCCAACACAATAGAGGTGAAATATAAACACAAGGACCAGTAATACTTTAATTTATTTACACATTTTAAGATAATAATAATAACAGGATAATAATTTCCACTTTATTTCTCAGTGGCCTGCAGTGCACCCAGAGGACTCAGGAGTTTATATTTGCCAGGCTGAAAACAACGAGGGGGTGACAGAGGTCAAAATTGACATCATTGTTGAGGGGGGGCTGGGAGCACCAGTGGCGTCAGTGAGCACTACAGAGATGATAGTCGTGGAGGGACATACAGTCACGATGTCGTGTCGGGCTAGTGGTAAGATGGTTTGTGTGCCTGTGTGTGTAAATATCTCGCAGTGTTGCTCTCAGTTCTCGTCTTTCACTTCATCCTTTCTTTCTCATCTTCATTCCAGGTTCCCCTCCTCCTGTCATCACCTGGTCCAAGCTACGAGCACCGCTGCCATGGAAACACACAGAGGATGGTGGAGTTTTGACACTGACCAGCGTGGGGCGCCAAGATTCAGGCCAATACATCTGTAATGCAACCAACATACATGGCTACAGCGAGGCGTACACGCAGGTGGAGGTGGAGAGTGAGTCGACGCCGCGGACAATAAACACTGACGGTGAATATCCAGTTTGTCTGTCACTGCACATGATAGGAGTAATTGTCTTCTCCTTCATGCAGGTCCTCCGTACGCCACCTGCCTGCCTGACCAGGTGAGGCTCCGGCAGGGAGATGCCCTGGTCGTGCAGTGCCTTGCCCATGGCTCTCATCCCATTCAGTTCGAGTGGAGCCGGGCAGGCAGGGCGAGATTGCCTGCAGGAGCAGAGACCACAAAGGATGGTAGGCTGCTCATAGCCCACGTTAAACTGTCTGACAGCGGAACGTACAAGTGTGTGGCCACCAACCACATCGGCTCCAGTGAGGCACTGGCCAAAGTCATCGTAAAAGGTGAGCTGGTGTTTGGCCTGAGGCAGTTCAACTGACTCTCTACTCTGTCTTTCACTCTCTACTCATTGATTTCTATCTTTGCTTATTTTCACAGCTTAATCCACTGTGGTCTCAACGTCTGATTGACAAACCATCTATGCAGCGATTACAACCTCTGCACACCTGGTTTGTAGCCGTGAGGACAGTGAAATGGTTAATACTGACAAAACAGAGAAAATTATATTTAATAGATTCATTTATTTTGATGTATTAAAGTGAAATATATATGCTGTTTAAACTTTTTTATTGTGCAGATTGGGTTAATTATGTTTTTTTCTTAGAAAACCGATACTGTTGCTAGTATTGCTCCTATCTCATATTTGCCTTTGGAGAGCTTTTCTCTGGATCTGTGTGTGGACCAACATCCTGCACTACATGTGTAGGAGTTTCCCCTGCTGGAATGTCTCTGCACAATGTCCTCCTCCCTTTATGTCATCTGATCTTGTCCACACTACACTGTCTAAACTGTTCTAATATAAAACCCTTTATAATGCCATTAATTATTAAAACAATAAAGACCAAATAAAATAATGTATTACACATTTTTTGTTTGAAGTGTATCCAGATTAGGGGTGTACAAAAATGATGAGGAGTGGAGAGGGGCTGGGCACAGAAAAGTGGGATGGTATTGTCTGGATGGTTTTGCTGTCTTGGAAGAGCAGGGGACGGGTCTTTTTGTAAACTCCAGATTTATAGTTTATTTCAGCCTTCCCTTGCGATATATATATAATTAATAGTTAAATCGAAATAATCATACCAAAAATATATCTTTCGTGTGTGTCATGATTCAGTAGGGTGCACTTTACTATGTGCAAAGGACAGAAGTTGATCTTATTTTTATTTATTATCTCAGTTTTTAAAAAATTTATTAGCCTACATTACCCACCATGCAGAGGGTTGCACTTTTTTCCAAAGTCCAGCTAAGGTCCAGCACTCCTCCACACTCCACAATTAATCCACACACACACAGTCATTTTTGTACAGTTCCTTAATGTTTACATGTGGTGTCGTTTTGCCATGTGAATGCCTTTACACATGACAGATTATAAAACTGGTTTCAAATGTGAACATCACTTCCCATAGTCCTTTCTTTAACCACATGGTGGCAATATGTAGCTTTCAGGCACACACACAAGTTGCCTTCAGGCTAAAGGAGAACATTTTGAGCCCTTACACCCTGGCAGTACACATGGATTGCACAGTCAAGCTATTGTTTTCCAAATAACTGCATGTCACCCCTAAGACTAAAACTCTTGGCTGACCAGTGCAGCTCTCTGAGTAAATATGGACTGTAAACTCCTCTTGAACAGGCAAAGTTCAGTTTGATCAGTCAAACGTGTTGCAAACTGACACACCGATGGCCATGTTGTTGGAGACCTTGGAAAACAGCTTTCACTAAATGAGGTGTTAGCCCGACATTTAGGGTTTGTGGCTGCAGCAGAGGGTTTGGAAAGAGAGCTACCATTTCCAGAGCAGCTGCCAGAAGTGAGCCTATATGTGCTGCCTGTGATTGTGGCCTCCCTTGTAAAACGCCCGACCTCCACAGAGACGCAGGCTTTATTCTTTTCACTATTCCTCTCTCCATCTTTACAATCGTCTTCAAAGCTGGGGAGGAAACATCTGACCTCTGTCACGTCACTCCACCCCCTCACTTCACAGACAGACTGAGGTAGGGAGGGAAGGTGAAGGAGACAAAATAAATGAACTACAGAGGATGTTAGAGGAAGGAAATCTACATATATTTTTAATTTAGAACGATAAAGTGCCATTGAGCTGGAACAGAGGGAATGTATCAGTGACTGAGAGGAAACTCTAATTCATTAAATCTGATCCCCCTCTCTCTCTGTTTACGCCTTTGTATACATATTAATGAGACATGGACATATGGTCTCTAATGGAGTCTGATATAAACAGTGAGGTCAGATGACATCCCAGAAAAGTGATGTGCACACACACTCACACAGACGGTTTGTCACAATTTCAGAAGCCTTACGTTAGTTTACATTACAGTAGGATTACACAACAGTGTTGCATTTACTTTGGACCACACATTGCTTATGTTAGCCTTAAGAGGTGAGGAAAAAAAACAAAACAGGCAATCAGTCTTGTCGCTGTATCAGCACACAGGGAAAGTAAAATACTCCATGCCATATATTCAAAAAGTGTTACTGTTTTTTGGATAAAGACCAGTGTGATGTCCCTGTAGTAATATGGGAAAAGTAGATCATTCAGGAAGGAGCCAATGAGGTGAGAGCTTCCCCAGGAAGTGATAAGTGGAAGGAGGGCGTCTGTCAAGTCTGTTGCCATGGTTTCCACCTGGTGAACTCTGTGGCAGGGCTTGTAGAAACAACATTTTCTTCAGGACGTAGGAAGGCAAGGTGATGGGTGATAGAGAACAGGAACTCCCCTCTATTGTGTCGGCAGCGGAGCCACGTTGACTACCAGAGTGCATAACATCTCACGCTGCCTTAAATCTGAGCTCACAATGGGCCCTGTTCCTGTTTCTAGCCGGTGCAACAAGAAGCCACAATAACGACGCTGATTTTGATGAATTGGTTCATATAAGTCAGCTGAAATGTTGTCATGCACAGACAGAGGAAGAGTCTGTAATCCCTCAGTAAAAATAGACTTCTGAACTGTCAGGAAGGGTTATGTCCTGGGCTGAACGGGTCTCTATGGGAACAAAATATAGGCAGCATAGTACTCCATTAAACAACTGTTTTTTCTTGCCTTCTCTCTGTTCTGGAAGAATAATAAATGCAGATGGTTAAAAGCTAGGCAGTGGTTCTCAACCTGGGAAAGAGACCCCTCAGGGCTCCCGAGAGAAACATGCAACAAGCAAGATAATTTAATGGTTAAGAAAGAAAAATAAAATTCTGTTTCACAAAACTAGGGGAGAGTGGGGCACAACCCAACACACTCTGGTTTGGACTAAGTAATTTAAAAAATATTTGAGTTTGATTAATCATATTTTATACAAGCAACACTCATCTTTGCTACGAATGAACACTTGAAGTTTGTTTCTAGGACCAATTGCGCTAAATGTCGAAGAAGTGAAAGGTTACAACTTACTCAACTTATGGGTGTCTCAGAAAACAAAAAGTTGAGGAATGCCAAACTTGGACAAAATATAGTAAATGAACATCTCACATCATATATACTGTATATTTTTGTATTTTATACAGGATGTATTAATGGTTTGAGAGTTTGCCACAGTCTAAATGGTGTTAACTGTGGTTACTGACATGACTGTATTCTAGGCCTGCTAACATGTAACCTATCGTACCTTAGAGTTAATACTGTAGCTATCAATTGAGCAAGCTTTAGCATTATCAAATTCATTCGTTTTTGAACTTGTATTCAAGAAGCAGGTTGCACATTGAATACTTTAAGATCCGGTAATATATTTAAAAACAAAAAAAGTTGAATTGAAGGAATGTTAATTGGAAATAGTTAAGTTTAAATATTCATTCAAATTGCAAAGCCATTCATGAGAGCCATTCACTCTGGGCATTTTAAATGTTTTACAGTTGAAACATTTATTGTGTTATACTGTATGCAAATACAAATGTGTGTGTGGGGAAGGATGTCCATGTTGTGAGCCTGCAGTATTAAATACATTTACTGTAAGTTAAGACACTTTCCAGTGTCCAAACTCACACGGGGCAGGGGAGTACCCTGGCCTTATGGCTCATACAGAATATTGTTGAAAAATATGGAGGTAAAGCAAGTTTATATGAATTTCATATCATTTGAATTTTGAATGGTCTCCAAGTTTTCCATGGTCTTAAGTTTTTGTGAGGGATGATGCCTCACTTAATGAATTCACTTGTCATTCCTGTGTCCCATGTCACCCTTGGTGTAAATTATAAATCAGACCATGAGGGCTCATTTTATGTTTGTGTGAGCTTTCACTTGAGATCTATATTCATGTCCTGAACTGTTAGCAATGCTTGAATATGTGCAATAATAATAACCTAAGGTGTAAGAAATCAGTTTATAATAGCACAATTTGAGGATTATCACATTCACAACACCTTTTTTCAAATTATGTCTGTACAATTTTTTTTTCCTTTAGGGTATGCTGTCTAGAAATGACATCTTGGCTGTGTGGTTAACAGCCATTTATCATTGTGGCAGGAAGTAGCTGTTTGTTAATCACTTTAAAGCTAGCTGTCTTAACTGAACAGGGGATCAGGGGGGAGTTCCATGGATAATATGTACTGGATTTATAAAATGTTGACACTCATAGTCAACACGATCACTTCTCATGTCTATTAGGCCATCACCTGTGACAAGCGGTCTCGAGAAGGAAATCCTTTATTTTAAGGGGTCACAAGCCAAAACCGTTGACTGATGTAATCATCCTCATGAAAGCTGATATAAGCAAGTGTTGTAAAACCTTGGTTTGACATTTTGCATCAGAGCCTGGATGTGCTCTATAAGCATATTCACTTTGCTACTTATGCTGTTTCGGTTCCTCGGCTGTAAAGGTGTACAATTTCACACCGTTTTCATCACAGAGCCAGACACAGCACTTGCAAGAGCTACAAGCCCATGCCTGACTTGTGCTATAATAGTTTTGTAACAGTGTAGCAAAGAGGGCTGCTAAGCATGGTTTTAACAAGGGTTTGTAGATTTCAAGGACCATGTTGGATATTCCCCCAACAAACATAAGACTAAAGTAATTCTGTCTCTGTAATTCAGTCATGTACAAATAATCCTTATTGCTATATACTGTATGGCTATTTTGAAATGAAGTTCTCACTTATGCTATTGTGGGACCAATCTAAAGTAAAAACCTTTTCAGAATTATTTTGAAATAAAGTGATTCAAAAGTAGGGTCACTTCCTGTGCCAGAGCCACACACCACCAAGATACCACACTGTCTGAGTTTGAAGTGTTTTGTAAATTAATTTTAATTCTTATCTCTTATTATATTTGTCTAACATATTTAATAGTAGGGCTGTTGTATGTTGGGATAACACATAATAAGAGCCCTGTTGTCAGTAACGCCCAGCAGTGGTTAAAACACAGCCAGCTCCATCTGGCTGCAAATACGCTGCTGCTGCTTGTCACTGAGCACCATAAATACAAACAAGTCAAATACATCCTGTGATCATGGACTTCTCCTCTTCGCTTGAAACTTAAATCACATAATGGGCCATCTAAATAACACATAGTGCACACTTTCACTACCCCGCTCTTTTTCCTGCTTTGCACAAAGTAATCATTTCTACGTCTTTTGAAGCTATGGCAGGTTGCATGCACAAAATCTTTCAAGATTTCAACCGCAATTGTCTGTGCATGTGTGTGTGGGTGTGTGTGTCTCAATACCTTGCCTCCTGATAGTATGTCACTGGTGGTTGTGGCATCAGAAGGAAACCACTTCAGCTTCGGAAAAAAGGTTGAGCAACACTGGTTAAAAATATGCGGTATAAAAGCAGAAGAAAGAGAGAGGCGCACAGACTTCCACAGACAGTGTTTGGTACAACATGTACTGTCAGTCACATGTTTTACTACTTCTATCTGATAAACCCAA